CCTTTCACTTGCTAAGCAAGCTCTCTACCACTTGAACCACACCCAAAGCCCTTTTGGGCTAGTTATTTTTGCCAGAGGGTCTTACTTTATGCCCAGGCTGGCCTGGACCACAATCCTCCTATGACAAGTACATCCCAGCACCCAGCCATTGGTTGAGTGATTTTTCTTTTGTCTGGGCTAGCCTCAAACCATGATACTTCCAATCTGTGGCCTCCCAAGTAGCTAAGATTAGAGGCTTGAACCACCATGCCTGGCCTTTGAAGTCTCTTTTTGAAGGCTATAAATCCCTTTTGTGAAGGCTCTGCCTTCATGACTTAATAATTTCCCAGAGCCCCCACCTCCTAACACTATCACCCTGGGGGTTAGAATTTCAAGATAAGATTTGAGACAATACATTCAGTCTATAGCAGATATCATCACACTGTTTCAGCTCCTTTAGTCAAAGTCATGTTAGAGTGAGTGTATCCAGGCCACTCCACCTGTGAAGACAGGCCAGGTCTGGTCAGGCAGGGCCACTTTTGAATGCACAACCTCATTAAAGATCTTATGGATTTTTAAAAGTGAAGTTTAGAGGAAATATTTTTAAAAAGAAAGAAAATACTCTCTCCCACTTTTTCTTTATGTGGGCAGTCATCTGTTTAGAAGCAAGGAGATTTATAGTGTCGAATAATGCAAGCATTTCTAGCTCTTTGTGTAGCTTCACTGGGATCTGACACTAGGTCTTGAAAGAAGTAGGTAAATTAATTTCACATCTCATTGGGAACTTTAAGACTTTAAGATGTTTCTTGTCATCTAGTTCTAGGTTACCTACAGATAATTAATTTCGTGGCATTTCTGTAATCTGATTCCCCCATTCAGCCTTTTTTTCCCAGCATCCTTCTAAGTACTTTCCCATCCTCTCCCCTCCCAATGTAGTTCTCATTCACAGCCTCTCATTCACTGTGTGTTTATTACACAGTCCAGAAGAGCAGCTCCTGCCCAGGGCCTTTTGGGACATAGTCCTTCTGAGGCCATTACAATTCAGAAGCCACATGGTTGTACTCATAACAAATGTGTGAACGAATAAATGAATCCTCTTGCCCACATTAGTCATTACATTGCCTAAAGTGTTTCTTTTTAATTGTGTATGTTTCCCATAGAAAGTATAAAATGGACTTCCAAAGATGGAGAACACATTACCTAAGTAAATATAGAACTAAAAATAGTGCATATTCTAAATAGATTATAGAAGATGGCTTTCCAATAATAACCAACTTTCCTCACCTTTTGATAGTAAGAAGCAATGAATAAACAATCTTTAAATTTGTTTCTCATCAATAAGAGGAAAAATGAATTTAAAAAAGGGGAAAATTTTTGTGTTTTAGACTTCATGACATTAAAGTGAGATGTGAAAATAAAAGCACTTTTCACATTTTGGAGCTGGCCACTTAGAGGGCTGAGAAATGAGAGCTTTTAGTAACTGTGAAGATGAAAAGTTTTAACTTTGAACTACTAACTTGTTAGCAGTTAGTTTAAAATAGCCAGATTTCAAGTTATTGCAGATTTGGGGTATTTGTGACCAAGGTCTTACCATGTATCCACATTTGGCAGAATGTTTTCTTTTTATCTGTTATTTCTTTGATGACTGATTAGCTTTTGGTAGCTTAAGTAATGATTGTTAATTATCTCATGGTTTCTGTGGCTTAGCAATCTGAACACACCTTAGCTGGACACTTCTGACTCTGAGTCTGTCACAACACCACCTGGACTACTAGAGCAAGAAGTGAATTTTAGAAGAGAAAGCAATGGCCAGGAGATTAATTAGTGCACTTTTAAAAGCCGCAACATAGAAAGGAAAAGTCAATGATGTTTCTAAGTGAGTGACATGATTATATTAATAAAATTGAAGCATATTTAATATATTAAATAGTTTCTCAGTAACACCTGATTCTGAATGAGTAATGCTCATGGGAACACTACTGGCATAGATTTTCTGAAATGACTGATATCCCAAACTATATGAGCTTGCCTTCAGAATGCACTGTGTCCTATAAGCTTAATGCAGCCTCCCCTCTGTAAATAACTTCTGGGTCCCCCTAACTCATAGGTTAAAGACAAAATAGCCTATCCAACTCAATCTTCCAACTCCTGGCCCCACACTGGCAATAACCTTAGGCTTTTCAGTTTTACAACACTCCCTGCTCCCCATGTTCATTCCCTCACCCTTCGACCATCTACCAAGCTCCTTCCTACCTCTAGCCTTTGTACAAGTTCTCCCCTCTATCTTAGCCATCCCCTCTGACTCACTTCCAATTTTATCTTGTCAACTGCTAATCATCCCTTTGATCTTCTCTCCAATAGCTCTTCCTCAGAAATGTGCTCAGACTAGATCTTTCCCAAGACCTCTTATATACTACACTTTTCCTTAGAGCACTTAACACAGTTGATAATTATATATTTGTATATATTATCTGATTATGCTCTGTCTCTCCAACTCATTCACACTTCCTAAGACAAGGAGCTGTATCAGTCTGAGCCACAATTCTCTCACCTGCATCCAGCAAGCACCACCTGGCACAGTACACTTAATGACCCGACTCCACACTTCTCCTCAGTTACCTGGACTGCCCCCAAATTCTGGATAATTAGAAGGAAGCAACACAGGTAGCCACAAATAAGATTTTTTAAAATTAAGTTGTGTAATGGGATGACCTAATAACCCCTAATTTTCACTGAGCCTTTGGAAAGTCTTGGTTGGTGGGGTAATACCGTCTACTGAAATTACCATTCCACTGTGGTTTGAATGTTTGCACCTCTTCCAAAATTCATTATGAAACATAATCACTAATGCAGATGTATTAAAAGGTGAGGCCTTTTGGAGGTAACTGAGTCATGAGGACTCCTCTTTTGTGAATGAGATAGGTTCTTATAAAAGAGGATTCACACAGCATTCAACTGTTTATCCTTTCATCCTCTCCACAGTGTAAGGACACAGACTTCAAGATGCCATCCTAAAAGCAGAGACTGTCCCTCACTGGCCAGTAGACCTGGTGGCACCTGGATCTTAGACTTCTCAGTTCTAGAACTGGGAGAAGTAAATTTTTTATTATTTATAAATTATCCAGTGTCAGGTACATTGTTATGACAGCACAAATGCTCTAAGACATATTTCCTCAAGTTTCATTTCCCCCTGAACCCAATCCTATTCTCCTTTGCTCCTTCTCTGCAGTCAGAACTGGGAGGAAAAAAGAACACTGAAGGGAGCAGCTCCCTGAAGCTCACTCAGCAGGACCAGGCATTTAAGCCTATATTTTTGGTTTTAAGTTAGTTATATTGCTTTATTTTTTTTTTTTTTTGAGACAGGGTCTCCTGTGTAGCCCAGGCTTGCCTTAAGCTTGCGATGTCTTGCTTTTCCTTCTGAAGTGCTGGGATTACAAGCACGTACCACCATGGCTGGCTCTAAATTCAATTACTTAATTCTCACTTGGCTTCCACAAAAAGATGAAAGGCTGACTTTTTCATAGGAAAATAAAAATGTTTCTGTTTTTACTACCTACTCATCTGAATTGTCTGGACCATTATTACAGATAACTGCAGCCTGGTCCCACATGGACTTTCCATTTTAAGTTTTTGTGAAAATGATTCTTGTCAAATGTGTGACTTCTAATCAAAACTCAGCTGTGTGAAAATCAATACCTAACTGTATCCCACTTATGTTGGAATTATGGATGTGCTATAATTATTTTTAAGTTGTTTACTTTTTCTTCATCTATTCATTCATTCAGCAAATGTTTACTGATTACTATCTGTATGCAACCCTTGTCCTAGGATCACATACAGAAAGATCAGGGAGGCTCCTCTGTAATCTACGGAGTCTGCAGTCTTATAGAGCAAAAGCATCTTGCTTTTACTCAAAAGAGGATTGAAGAAAAAGACATTTTCAGGTCCAAAGATAGAAATTATCTTCAAAAAACTTTTAACTGTGGCTGGAATAGTAATGGTTATCAAAGCAGACTTTGTTGATGTCCACCACTTCCTCAGGGGTAAGAGGAAGAGGCACAAAGGTGAGTCTGTGCTTCCATAGACACCTCCCTCACACCTGTGTTTACACAGGTCTGCAAGGTCTTCCCAGAGATTTCTCTAAGAAATCACAGGAGCCCTTCTTTCTGGAAAGTTTTACATGTGGTTATAGCTGTGTCCTATCTGAAGGCCAACAAAATGCTTTTATGTGGTTTTCATAAGTTCTGTACCCCCAGACCACCCCAAGATACACTTTGCGCTTCCAATGGTTTTGAGGGTCCCCAAGACAAACCACATGTTCAATGATTTACTAGAAGGACGCATGAGACTCAACATGCATTTTATTCCCAGCTAAGATATATTACAGCAGAAGTATATCCAACGGGATCAACATGAGTAGAATCTGGAGAAACCAATGTGTGGGCTTCTGGTGTTTCCATGAGCGGACTGCCATGTGTACTCCCTTCTCTACCAGCAAGATGTGCAGTGATGTATAGATGGTCTCCAACCAACAATAGTTCCAATACAATTTTCCCATTTTTATGGTGGTGCAAAAGTGATGCATTTTCAATAGAAACCATACTCCCTATTTTGAATTCAATCTTTTCCTGAACTTTAATATGTGGTACAATACTTTCTACTGATGCTAGGACACACCAGTCAGCCTCTTGACCACAAAGGTAAGTAACTGATACTCAACCACGTACTGTGCTGCTAAGCTTTGACCTTTAATAGGTTAGATTACTAAATGAATTTCTGGCAATATTTTTAACTTACAGTGGGTTTCTTGGGATGTATCTCCATTGTCAGTTGAAGAGTTTCTGTGTGTGCAGTGTGTGCACTGTTTTTACCAGGGATGCCCATTAGAGACTTGGCACCCAATGTTTATATTGGGGCTGGTGACACGGACACCCTTTACCTAGAAAGAATCAAAATTCCAGACTATCAGACTATTTTACTTTTCTTCTGTTCTGTTATCTTCTTTCACAGGACAGACTTTCTCCAGCTCAAAGGAATCAACCATGGATTTCAAGCATGTGAAAGAATATTTTGCCTGGCTCTACTATCAATACCAAATCATTAGCTGCTGTGCTGTAATGGAGCCCTGGGAGCAATCTATGCTCAACACCATCTTATTAACCATTTTTGCTATGGTGGTGTACACTGCCTATGTCTTCATCCCTATCCACATTCGCCTGGCTTGGGAGTTTTTCTCAAAACTATGTGGATATCACAGTACAACTTCTAGTTGATCTCTTTTGCGTTCTGTGAAATGGCACTGCATATTTATGTTGCTTACAACTTACTGACTTAGGTGATTACTGTGTCATCTTTCACTATCTGACCTAAAAAGCGCCCTTCTCTATGCACTCTTCTGTCCTGCCTGGAGTTTGAGATACGTGTCTTTCTAATTTCTTTCTTACATGTTATTTGTGCATCAGACCATAGAAAATGCAATGACTTTACCTCGTTCCATATTTGCTCAACTCAAATCTATGACTTTAGATTTCTTTTCAAAACAAGGCTATTTCACATAAAAGTTTCTGGAAAATAAGTTCATACCAAAAACATATTTAAAATGCTCCCATGATACATATTCTATATTGAAGGATATATTACAAAAGAAAAGTTTTTTCATAGGCTACTGTCAAAAGTATCCTATCCTTGTTTACAATGTATAAAAAGATGTGAATAAATTATATGAAACCCCCTAAAGTCTTATTTTCTACTAAACTGCTAATACCTAAAATTCTTTTACTTCAGATTCAGAAAAATAGGCTGAGGCAATTATTTTCTTTCAGATATGGTTCATGAGTTCTTTCAAATGCCTCTGAAGTCTGGCTTTATAACAATGTTGACTTTAGATAAACAAGTAAGTATTATAATGCATAATAATTTTAATTGTAAGAAAAAATATATAATCAAAGTAAATTCAGATATTGTGACTTTTGTTGTTTGCTTGCCTTGCATGATGCTGGGAAAAGGAGAAAAGAAATTGTTTTCTTTCTGTGTTTTCACTCAGGGGAGGAAAAAAAAAAAGAAGCCTGTATTGGGCTGTGGGAAGAAGAGCTGATAAATAGGCTGGAAGTAATATTCTACCAGCAGGAACACTGCAGCTCCAGTTAAATGCTTTGATATAGTGACTCCTTTGTAGAGCAGAAACAAGATTTATTAAATTTCCTTCAAATGTTTATCTTAAAAGCAAATATAAGTTTTTAATTATACTGCTGAATCAAATGTGAATGCCAAAGACCTAGCCTTGCTGCTTTTCTTTCCTCCCAATAAATATTAATGTTCGTAATTCTGGAGGTTAGAAATGTAAATAGATTTTGGACAATATTTGTACCTTTGTTTGTGTTAGGAAAAAAAAAATCCAAGGAGACCTAGGAAGAAAGATGTTTGGCATGTGAAATTAACTTGCATGTTTTTTTTAGAAAAAAGAAACACAATGTTTTGAAGAAAGTCCAGATCTGAATATGATCTGATTTGCTGATTTTTGCAAAATAAAATTTTGCACATAAAGATATCCACATCAGATTTTCTTTTTCCCATATTGCACTAACTATCTAGTTGGCACGTCACTTGTCCCCAACTTATTTCTTACTAATTCAATGGGCAACTGATCTTAAGATGGCAGAGTAAAATCAGCATTTTCCAAGGGACCTGTCCATTGCTAGACAAGCTTTCCATGTTGATGTAGGTGAGGAGCCTGGAGTTTAGAACATTTCTCGTTCAAGGTCAATTAGCTTCTTGCAGCATAAGGATGCAAATTCAGATCAGAACTACACTGGGCCATGCAAAAATATGCCACCTGGAGGACAACATGAAAGTCTATAGAATAGACTTTCCAAATAAGAAGGATGAGGGCATAACCAGACAGCCAAGGCTGGAGGAACAACAAGCCCAGGTCCCAGCTGCCACCTTTGTGCCATATCTGCAGTTGCTATGTTCACCCATTTCTATTCTTCCCAGGCCCTCACTGCTTTTGCTTTTAAATATTTAACAGAGGATCCTCAGTCAAGCATGAACTTGGATGCATTCCCAGTTCACAGTGATTCAACACCCTTGTATCTGTGGACCCCTACTAGGTACTCTTGGAATTCAGTCAAAAAGATACTACATTGACCTTCTCCAAATCCACCTTCTAAAAATAAGAAAGTTAAAACCAACATGAATATCCACAGTAAAACTTAATGAAGTGTTACTGCAAACACTTCAGGATGTCACTTTGAAGGTAAGCATTATCTCTGAGCAATCAAAAGTAATAAATACAGGGTCTGAAAATATAATCAAACATAGTTGGAAAAAAGAAAGAAAGAAAACCTATCCGTGTGTGGTGGGGAAAAAAAGAAAGCTGTGCCTGCTCTGTTGGTTTTTCGGAGTTGGCAGAGATGCTCTTTACCTTGGCCACAGTTAGCCTAGTTAGGACCACACTTTCTGTGCTTTTCCTCTGCTCCTGCTACTTGGCTGTTTCAGTGGTATGTACAGAACTTTACAAAGACAGCAAGCCAGTGGTTCTGTGGTTTTATTGGACTTGTGTTTGTCACTCACCAAACTAAGAATCATAAAAATGTTCTTTCCCTGGTATTGGCCAAGGAAACACTTGCTTGTATCTACCTGAGTAACAAAATACAACAATACTGGCAATCGGGCAGATCCAACACAACAGTATACCGACCACTCTTCATTATTTGTGAAAAAATCACTAGCCACATTTTCTTCTTCTTTCTTTTTCTGTCACTAGTAAGTCAAGGTCCTGTCACTTTATGCTTCTGGAAGACAGAGGATTTGTCCCTATTTCTGAATCCCCAGCACTGGGCTCAGTGGCTGATTGGTACTGGGCTTAGCAAATATACACCCTGGAGAACTTTATGTAGCTCCCATACCTTCAGCCCCACAGAAACAAGGAAGCTCAGTCTATGTAACAGCTAACCTCAGAGTACACAGCTTCTGGTTATAGACCGAAAGAGTGACACCCATTCATTCATTAACAAATTTATGAAAAGCCAACCAGGCATAAGTGATGAAGAAAGATAGAAGTGAATAAACGTGAAGGAGAAAGCACAACAAACTAGGTGATAGGTGTTCAGGAGCTGATTGTGAAAGTCTCTTAACATTGTACACTTGAATTTTTGTTCAAAAACTGTAGGGAAAAAAAAACACACAAATACTGGTGAGGATGTGGGGAAACAGGAACCTTTATACACTGATGGTGGGGATGTAAATTAGTACAGTCACTATGGAAATCAATATAGGGGCTCCTCAAAAAACTAAAACTAGAACTTCCATATGACCCAGCTATACCACTCCCAGGGATATGCCTGAAGGAATGTGGGTCAGGTTACAATAAAGACACCTGCATACCCATGTTTATTGCAGCATTATTCACAATAGCCAAGCTATGGAAACACCCTAGGTGTCCACCAAACAATGAATGAATAAAACAAATGTGGTATATATGTACAATGGAGTATTAGTCATACATATAAAGAAGAATGAAATTATGTCATTTGCAGGAAAATGGATGGAACTGGAGATCATCATGTTACATGATGAAAGACAAATGCTACATGTTTTCTCTCATCTGCAGAATCTAGATACAAACAAGCAAATAAAAAGTCATAAACCTAAATGGAGGAGTTTGAGGGGAGGATGGTGGGGGGACAGGAGGGAGGGAGCAAGTGGCAGTGATGGGAGGTAAATAAGATCAAAGTATATGTATGTATGGGACTGTCGTAATGTAATCCTTTATTTTGTACAATAGCAAACAACACTTTATTCTGTTTTCTCCACTCAATTAAATACTGTCCTTGACCTAGGGGAGGGGAAATGGTAGAGAAGCTGAGTTTGGTGGCACATGCCTGCAATCCTAGCACTGAAGCAGGAGGATTGAAAGTTTGAGGCCAGCCTGTGCTACCAGACCCTATCTCAGAAAAACAACACAAGCCTATAATCCTAGCTACTCAGGAGGTAGAATCAGGAAGAGCACTATTGAAGGCCAGTCCAGGCCAAAAGTTATTAAGACCCCATCTCAACCAACAAGCCAGGTGTGGTGGTACACATCTGTAATCCAAGCTATGCAGAAGGCATAAGTAGGATGATCTCAGTGCAAGACTTAGGCAAAATGGTGAGGCCCTATCTGAGAAGTAACTAAAACCAAAAAAGTGCTGGAGGCATGGCTCAAGTGGTAGCACACCTGCCTAGCAAGTGCAAAGCTCTAAGTTCAAACCTCAGTACTGCCAAAAAGGAAAAGAAAGAGAAGGGAAGGGAGCAGGGAGGGAGGGAAAGAGGAAGGGAGGGAGGAAAGAAGAACCATCTAATCCACCCCAAGGACACTTCCTCTGCCTTGTGGGAAAGTTATTTCCAAGCTGATTCTGCTGGCTGCTAAGAGAAGACAGGATTTTTTTTAGAGGTTAACAAAGAAAACATCATACATTTTTACTACTCTTCTAGTTTTTAAAACTTTGCTGTATCTCATGGATAGTCCTAATACATCTGATTCAAAGAACAAACTCTGGTTTTCCATCAGGAAAGAGAATGAAATTTTCTAGGTACATCACATCAAAACTGACTAACCAAAATGTCAATAGCACAGTGCTCCTAGGGAATAAGTCACTCTAACACTCATTCAAGAATTTAAACAGGCTCTGAGAGCAAATTTCAGGATTGGGGTTCTCTTTGACTCATCCCTGAATTATTATGCAGATAATAATGAAAGTAGTGACATTGGGGAGATTTAATGGAGGGATTGAGGAGGAGAGCTGGCCAATTTTTAGTTTTAGTTATTGCTTAAAAATTACAAGAAAATGGGAGGCAGAAGTCATTCCATTAATTAATAAAAACACATTCTCTTTGTTGTGGTGTCAAAACTTGTGAAGCTTTTCTGTGAGCCTCTGTAAGCAATTAAGATGTATCCCATTGGCAGTATCCACATTTCTATCACTTCCACATGAAATTCAAATTTTGAATTGTTCATTTTATTAATACATTTTAATTTTTCTCAAGGGGAAAGGCATCCATGCTTAGATTGACATGAGCACTGAGAAAAGGATAGGGGGAGAGAGGAGACTGGGGACAGAAAAAGAGAGGGAGAGGGAGAGAAAGGGAGAATCAATTTCCATCTGTTTTTTAAGTTCGAACTGGGAAGGTGTCACAAGTGTCAAAAGACAAAATTATAATAAATTTAATTTAAAGGTCTAATGGGGTATTATTACTTTTTCTAGAATTCAGCAATATCTCATTCTATAAATAG